GTACAACAAGTAGGAAGATGTTGGGAAATGTGACACCGCAATCCGAACATCTAATGAACTAACGAAAGAAGAATTCCAAAAGTCATGCAAAGTGCTGAGAAACAAAGAGTGCTGGGTTCCCATGTGATATCCATCCTCTTATATGATAGTGAATGTTGGACAATCTCCTCACGAATGAGGAGAAAGCTGGGAGCAACAGATGCGTTGTTCTACAGAAGGATAATGAGAATTCCATGGACGGAGCGATTAAGCAACGAAGAAGTGTTACAAACAAATGGTAACAAAAAGAACACATATTCAGAATCAGGAAGTGATAGCTGAAATTTCTTGGACCCCCAATGTGGAAGGAGGGCTTAGAAAACATAATCCTCACGGGGCATATTAAGAGGAGGAGAGATAGAGGAGTTATCCAGCCACTTACCCGAAGAACGGGAATAAAAAAAAAGCTGCTAAGTCCTATAAGGTTTGAAGAACTATAATCGCCCATGTCCCGAGGAATCACGGAAAAGGAAAAATTCTGACAAACACTTCTCAAAATCAAAATATATCCCCACCTAGTAGATTGTCACGATGCCAAATTAAATTCTTCATTGTAATTATCTTGAAACTTGGTTAGGCACAAGTAAGTATCATTGGTATATGAACCAGACAATACATCGATCCTGAATAGGTGCCACATCTAAGCTACGCTTAGTAAATCGTTATGTAGACTAGACAACGGGACGCGTATTCAGCTGTATATTTTAAAATTATTTCACCCCAAGCGCAGCGACAATGCCACGAAGAGGGAATGGGTTACTGGGGATGAAATAAAGCGAGGAGAAAGGACAAAGAAGGATCAGGTTTCAGAAAGATAGCTGATGGTGATTGACGTTGCATTTGAATTTTTAATAGATTGTTAGGTGGCAAGGAAACAATAAATCGGGAGAGAGTTCCACAGATGAAAAATACAAAAAAAAGGAACTATTAGAACAGTTGAATCTAGCTAGTTCAAAAGTAAAACAGTGAGACCTAATTGCCAATCTAGTAACAAGCTTAAATTCATGCCGTCAGAGCCCCGAGGAGGAAAGCGTATCAGAACAATTTCCATGAAAGTATTTGAAGAAAAGACAGTGGGAAGGAACGCCATGGCGGTGAGAAAGTGACTGAAGTCGAGTTGTCAGGTCAAGGTCGATTATATTGTTAAATAATAGTTTAGCAGACTATTAATTTTAGAGGGAATAGTATCTCTGCTCGAACTTCCTGAGGTTGACCTTCGAGCTCAGATAGAAGACAAAACAAAAAAGTCGATTTTGATTGGCTGAATGAGCATGAGAACGATAGATAGAGAATGGGTTTTCAAGGAGTTGTTTCTGAACCGTCAAGCAATGTAGGCGTGGTCTCTTTCGTGTCTGAAACGGTTACCCTGTAGAGGGACAGAGCGACCCCACTGGATAGTAGAAATATACACGTCGACGTGATTAACAAAAGTTTAAAATTGTCTTGATGACATTTATCACCGGACCCCAAAACATTTCGTCACCCGGTCGAGAGAAGACGAGAGAGGGAAGATACAACAATATTACAGATTCGTTTTTGGATTTTGTCGAGAATCTCTAGATATCGAAGCACCAGACCAGATATGAAAGCAGCAATATTTTCAATTCAGGGACGAATGGAAGATTTATAAATATGCAAGATAAATTCTGACTGGAAAAATATATTTGCAAATAAATATGACGGATTCCCTTTTCCAGGATTTCCATATATTTTGAGATGTTCTTCCAAGAAAAGGTCAAATTCACACAACAGCTCTAGCATATTTAAATAGTATCCAATTTTTGTTGACCCAATAATCTGATTTTCTACACGAAATGGCAAACTTCTGGAGGCAAGAAAGCGATTTACAAAAACCACATGTGCCGCCACTTTGTCAATATTCCTGCTCTCAGCAATGTTGTTCTAGTAATAAAGAATCAACACTTCCAGTTTCTTTATACTTTATGAAATATGCTGTCATACACTTACAATGTTCTTCATTTTCATGTTCTATAATAACATTGCTGTGCTTCCAGTCATTGAACCCCGATGTAGCAAAGGAAGATTCTTTCTTGGAAATTGGCGACATACAAAGCAGTACAAATGGCCTTAGGATTGTGAATAGAGTAGTCATTCACGTTTTACACACTCACCATTCCGCAGTCCGCGTTTGAAAACATTGTTTGATAAATACCTTGCTTTCATATTCTCTACACCAATTGTTTTGTACACTCTGTGTGATTTTGAAAGATTACTATCATGATTGTGACATGAAAGTCCATTACGAACCCAGTAATCTATTGTGTTAGTGTTGTAACCTAGGGAAGGTTACTGAATAGAATAATCACAAGAAGGTTGGTCATGAACGATAATACTTAGGAGAAGAACAACACATATAAGATTCGCCAGCGGCGCGTAGAAGAAGTAGTCAACTGCTAGAAGTGAGTCAAGTGAATTCTACAATGAATCTCCAACTGCATGA